CACAGCTTATCCGTCTTTCCAGTTCCTCCTCATCCTGAGGTAGTTACATAAGTTAATCACTGACAGCTCAGTCACAGAGAATGCCTTATGGGTTTGAGGAAGGGAAACTCAGTCCTTCAGGAGGCCGGTTCCCTGGCCAGCTCACTGAGCTGTCTCTGCTACACGTGCGTCTTTCCCAAGTCTTTTGAGAGGATTCGTGCGCAGCAGCCACGCGCCAGACTGGGGCCGAGGCTCACCTCTCTCTGCTTCCCTCCTCAGATCATGGCTGTTGCAGGCCTAGATTCCAGTAAAGCCCAGAAGTACTCACCGAGCCACTCTACCCGATCATGGGCCACCCCTCCAGCAACCCCTCCATACCGAGACTGGACCCCATGCTACACTCCTTTGATCCAGGTGGACCGCTCAGAGTCTATGGACCAGGTCAATGGCAGCCTGCCGTCCCTACACCGCAGTTCCTGGTACACAGATGAACCTGATATCTCCTATAGGACTTTCACACCAGCCAGCCTGACTGTCCCCAGCAGCTTCCGGAACAAAAACAGCGACAAACAGAGGAGTGCAGACAGCCTGGTAGAGGCAGTAAGTATGAATGGCCTTTGACCTCTGGGCAAATCTTAGACAGCAGCAGAAACAGGAGAACTGCTGTCACATGGGGAGGGAGCATTGGCGACATGGTGGGCCCTGCAGCCATGCCACCCGAGGGTGGCTTCTCAGCAGCATTGAGTGAAAACCAGCTGGCACTGCCAAGGCCCAGCAAAGCTTCCCATCCTGCAGTACCAGTCTGTGCTACATCCCCAGTGTGCTCACTCTTGCTCACCCATGCTCTGGTCCCCAAAGCATGCCGAGCAGTGACAGCTGAAGCAGAGCTTTCCTCATACCTTTGATCGTCTCTCCTGTACAGGTCCTGATATCCGAAGGCTTGGGACGATACGCAAGGGACCCCAAATTTGTCTCAGCAACAAAACATGAGATTGCCGATGCCTGTGACCTAACCATAGACGAAATGGAAAGCGCAGCCAGCACCCTGCTCAATGGCAATGTGTGTCCTCGAGCCAATGGGGACATGGGCCCCATCTCACACCGCCAGGACTATGAGCTCCAGGACTTTGGTCCTGGCTACAGTGACGAGGAGCCAGACCCCGGGCGAGAAGAGGAGGACCTGGCAGATGAAATGATTTGCATTACCACCTTGTAGCCCAGTGAGGGCAGGCTGGCTCCAGCCTGAGACGGGCATGGTAGGGCCAGGGATAAAGTGCCTCATAATTAGGAAAGTTTAGGCACTAGTTGGGAGAAAAATGTTCAATTAGACTTTTGTATAAGTGATTTCATGCCTCAAGGAAGCCATAAACCTGGTAGGAACAGGTTCTGAGTGGCCAAGCATGTGGTATGCCACATGCTGGGGCCCAGCCTCAGAAGACAGGATGTCTGGCCCCTGGAGAGGACAGGCAAGAACAGCAGCCTGGCCTGCACAGAGGCCAGAGGGTTGCCCAGGCGTTCACGTCTCCCACCCAGGGTGCATGCCCATGCTCATTTGCCTGCAGACATGAGAGAGGTTAAAGGTGATGACAATCACCACGCCTGTGTCATTACCTCAACCATTGGTCTAGCATATCAGATACTCACTGGGCCCGGCATATCCATTTCTGAGCCCCCTCCCCCAACACACTGGTTCCTGGTTTCTGTGCAGCTGTTCTGAATGGTACACATCAGAACCCAGCCACTAGTGGTCACGACAAGGGGAGTGGGACTGGACCATTTTGTTAAGCGCTGCCAGTTTACACAAAAGAACATCACTCAGATGGTCAGTTCTGTCACATTAAGGGCAACTGTAAACTGGAAGAGTACCGCACTTGCAAACCAGGTAAAACTTAGATACGTTAGTTTGTTTAAAAATTATAGATTTACTGTACATGACTTGTAATATACAATTTGTATTTGTAAAGAGATGGTCTATATTTTGTAATTATCGTACCGTATTTGAACTGCAGCAATATCCACGGGTCCTAACAATTGTAGTTTCCCACCAAAACCTAGAAATTATTAGTATTTTTACTGGAGCTAAACAGAATTAGGAGAATTAGAGCCAATTCTCACATATTCAGTAAAAGAATCTTTTGGGGATAAACTTTTGAGTTCATAAGAACTTGGCACTTCAGAACTTTTTCTAAGCTATTTTGAGTTACTATAAACCTATCTTTATGTAAGATATCAACTTGACTATTTGCAGTCTTTTCTTTGGGTTCTATGATTTTATATTGCACCTCTCGTCCACATGGGTTGCCGTTGTGTTTGGTTTAGGTCTATTTTAATAATCCCCTGGTCAGTTAGTTATATAGCAGGTCCACCTGGCTACTAGACCCAGTGGCATCCATTGGTCTGGCTTCCTCAGCTGCCCATCCAAGATGCTTCTGGGTCTCTGATGCACAGGTGAGCGGCTCTATCTGCTCACATCCCCAAGGATGCTTAAGAACTAAGAAGTATACTGCATGGGGGCGGAGGGGAGCACTGTGGGGCCCTGTGAATGCTGGAGTCTGTAGGGTCCTGTTGCCTTTCACAGCTGCTGTGCAGGGTGTTCTCTTCGAGAGCTGTCACACAGCTAAGCGAGGGCGGATGTTTTCATGAAAACACAAGCACTCTGACTGCACGCCTGGGGACAGTTAGCGTTGGGATCTTTAGAACTGTCAAGGTTTCTGTCAGCGTCATGAGATCTCATCCCATTACTTTCCTAAGGATTCTCTGCAATCAAAAAATACAGGTAGCAATTTGGGTTCAAAATTTTTAACTAGTACACAGACAACCTGTGGAAACATTTTTTTTTTTTTTGTAAATAAGTTTTATTATGAAGACCTCGCAAACCTCTTCGGAAGACGTTCTTACTCCAGATGCAGGCAAAAACACTTCAAGGTTTGTAAATGACTATTTCCTGACATAAAGCCTTTTTTTATTAAAATGCAAAGCGTTCTTCAGAATAAACTGTGTAATAATTTCTTTGTACGGGGAGCTCTCCTCACACAGCTGGCTCTGCCGGGAGAGCTTCAGGCAGCTTTTGCTGCCCTTGGTCTCCTCTGAGGCCGATAGTAACTTCACACCAGCTGCAGAGAGTGCTGTTCTCCTAAAGGGCTAAACCACCATCAGCATTTACCTTGGACTCTGTCTTGCTGGGTGTCTTGTCTGTCTGTCTGTCTGACCATGCGACGTTAACTTCAGCAGATCACACTCACCGTGTGTTCTGGAATGGGTGATCTTCCCCAAAGTCAGCCGTCAATACTGCCTGACTTTTCAGGCTGTCCCACTTCCCAGTATGTCTGCTTTAAGCTTGGTTCAACTTCTCATCTAATATTAAATTTCTCTTTGTAAGAAAAATTTGAAGTTGTAGAGCATGGTTTTTTTTTCCCTCCCCTTTAAGGAAGTTTTAAGACTAAATAGTTCTGCTTTTTGGTTTTCCTGCCCCTGCCCCAGCCGCCTGATTTTGAGTTCTTTGGAATACTGCTTTTAGTTTAAGCTCACGTTCTTAATGACATTAGGAAGTGTGGAAGTCACTATGGTCTGCTAACCGTCAGCAAGAACCTCATTCGAACCGTCCGTGAGGTCTGTGGACTCCTCGATAGCTCCAGAAGAGTACACTTCAAGGCACTGCCACTTCACAGAGGCCCAGCTCTTCAGCCAGCCCAGCTCTGTTTTATGCTGTGTGCTCTTTACTATCTATGACTTTATCATCTCGGCCTTTATCCTGGGGGGTTGGAGTGTTGGTTTACTTGTAAAAAATACCACCAAATCATGGACACATCTCTCAGGAAACCCACTCCTGCTATGCTTTCTGGGAGGGCAGTGGAGAACTAGGGAGAGGCTCAGTCTCTGGCTTCTGATATCAGAAGAAGGGGGAGGAGGGTGGTTGAAGAATAAACAACATCCCAGCCAGCAGGGGGCTACACAGGTCACCAGCTTGGTCCTAGGGGTAGGTCATGTTCTTCCCCCCACCCCCAATCTTTGCATTAGGTTTGATATTGTGGTAGTTTATCGGTGGAAATATGAAAAATCTTGGGGTGTGGTGTGCAGGTGATAAGAATCTATTTGAATTTATGGAAATTACCCTGCAGCTTGGACTGGAGGCCGGGCTCATGTGTGAGCACTGACTGTGACTTCCGCTACTTTGACTGTTTCCAGTCATACTGGCACACAGTTGACTGGAACACAGTTGGCCAACAGTGAGATGGGCCCCAGTTCCATCAACACAGCAGGGCTCTCCACAGCTCTGGGCACAAGTGAAGCTTTTTGGTTTAGATGCTAGGAGTCATCCATGGGCCACATGCTTGCTAGGTGTGTGTGTACTGGTTTTGTCAACATGTGGCCTTCCATGTTTGGGGTATTACAGGTTCTTTGCCAAGGAGCCTACTTAACTAAGCCTGTCCAGTTCCCCGTGCGAGTCAGTCTAACTGCCTATGCGAGCCCCATTTTATAACAAAAGCAGGACTGCACCATTCCACCACTCTGCTCCCTAGTGGCACTGGGACTTCCAGACCAGCCTGACATTTGGATTGAGCTCCTGCACATTCATCTGATCTGTTTGGGCTGGAAACAGGAACAGCCATCAGGGCTTCAGTGAGGATCCCTCCAAACCACATGCTCTATCCTGACACCATCTGTGAGTTCTGGGCATGTAACATCCACTTCTTGTCTCCAGAAACTCATTTCCTTATGTGACTAAAGCATGTCAACATGTGAAGCTGGCCTTCCTGTGCCAAAGTGAGAGGAAGGCCTGGATATGACCGAGGAGCACACCAGGGTTTATCTTTACTTATTCTAAAACACCGCTGTGCCTGAGAGAAGAACATGGCCCTCCCAGGGGCAGCACATGTGCTGGTAAAGATGCTACAGATGACTGCTGTCTAACACCAGTCCTATAAGGATCTCTTGGCAGACCTAGGATTTTCTTAACCTTCTTTTGGAACAGGAAAAAAAAAAAGGCAAGGAGCAGGTAAGATGAAACAAGAGTAGCCTGGTTTTCAAAGTAAAAGTGATGGTTTATAATTTTTCTTTTGAAACCTTTGAAGAGTCTTCTCAGGTGGACTCAAAAGTCCAGAAGGCAGCTCATACCAGTCCCTAGGGGAGCCTGGAATCCTGAGATTTCCCCTCCCTTCTTCACTCAGCAATGTGATTTCTATACAATGATCCCTTTCTTCCCCATTACAAATGATAGCTTTGGACATCTTCAGAAAAACCAACCTAAAATGCATTTGGCTCTCATTCTCTTGTAAGAACAGTTTGGATGAGGCGTCTTGGTTCAAGATAAGTTAGCGATTACATCTTAATTATGAGGAATTACAGGAGCTCTTGTAAATGCTGCTGGTATCCGCTCCCCTCACCCAAGTCTCAAATACTGGCTGGTTTATCTTTCACTCCAAAGTCCTTTGCTGCTCTCCATCAACCTCGGTGCCATGCTGTTCCCATGTCTAGAGAATAAGAAACGGTCGGCCCTGTCTGCAGAATAGTAGCTCTGGTTCCTGGGCCACTTCCAGGGCCACCATGAAAGGTCCTTGTAGGCTCATGTTCTTGGCATGAGGTAGTGACTGGCATGTGGGACTGGTTCTATATTCCTGCACTTTTGTGTGGTAAGAGTTAAACAATGAAATCTTGGGCAGTAAGGCCAAGCTGACCTTTTCTTGAACAACGTCCTGCAAGCCTCTCCTCTGGATGGTTTCATAAGATGAGAACCAGAGAGGTAAGCATGAGTCGTGCAGTCACCTGAGTCCTCATCCCTGCACCTCACTCTTCAGATTTAAATCGCCAGGAGAGAAGTGAAGAGGGGGTTAAGGTGTCGTCCAGCTGCCTTTCCCTCTAATCAGGGACATGAGCTCAGGTAACCAGCCCTGGCTGAGCTGCTGCCTGGCTCTTGGCTTCAGCTAAAGCTTCCTTGGAGAGCCCAGTCCAGTTCAACCACCCTGACTTTGCAGAAATGGCCTTAGGTGGGAGACCAGGAAAAGGATCATCCTACTCCTGGAAGCAGAGCTCTGAGCTGGAGAAGGCTGGAGACCATAAGAGAAAACCATGACAAGAGTTAACTACCCTAATTAACTGCTAGCCCCAAGTGGTCAGGAGGAAAGCCCCGGCATGCTTGCTAGCCTTTTTGTGGAAGGCCCTCAGAGGGACACTGGGAAAAGGGACTTGCCTCACTGGTTACCATGACCTCATTTCCTCAGATACCATGAAGGTCTGAGCCAAGAGTAGGGGTATCTGGGTCCCAAGTTTCTATCCAGTTTCAGAAATATCTGGGGTAGGCTGTACTTGTTGGATCTGTTGGCTTGGCATGAGTTTCTCTGTCATCCTCAGGCAATGGCTATTGGTCTTAACGCTGGGTGTCCAGAGTCTGAGGCTTGTAGACAGGAACATTCTTGTCACAGAGTGCAGGATACCCCTTAATAATGTCAGCTGCTTTCTCTGCAATCATGATCGTGGGAGCGTTCAGGTTACCACTGACCACACTGGGCATGATGGAGGCATCAATGACTCTGAGGTTTTCTACCCCGATGACCCTGGTTTGCAGGTCAACCACGGCAGTAGGGTCAGAGGGCTGGCCCATCTTACAGGTGCAGGAGGGGTGGTAAGCACTGTCTGCTTTTGCCCGCACAAAGGCATCTATCTCTTTGTCTGATTGGACATGGCTTCCGGGCTGCAGCTCTTTTCCCCGGAAGGGAGCCAAGGCTTCCTGTGCAAAGATTTCTCGTGTCAGCTTCACACACTGACGGAAGTCCTCGACATCGGTTTCTGTGGAGGAGAAATAAGTGAGGTCCCCTTCTCTTACTCTGGGGGCCAAACCAGGGGTCATAGATCAGGGACGTGGAGAAGCAATCTACAAGTGTTTGTCACTTGCCCAGAGGCAATTACTAGCAATCAAGTATCCTAGACAAACATCGCCAGGTTTGTGTCTGAAGTCTGACATCTCTGTAAACCAAGGGTAAATCTATTTCTGCTACCATGTGGCTGCCAAGCCCCCATGCCATGGGGATGGGGTGTAAAACCTTGCTCATGGGGCATGAATCTCTGTGGTGCATACAAAGGGGCGGGCTTGGGAGTACAGCGTGCTCTTGGGCAGGGAAGGCCAGGTGGGTAGTATGCACAGGCCTGGCAGCTGTTCCTCCTACAGACGGGTCTGAAAGTGGTACCTCTGTCCTGCTGTGCAGTGAGGCCCAGGCTACCTTCTGTGACCTAGATAGAACTGAGGGCAACCCCCGTGTTAGGCACTGGGATCCAGAGTAAGGACTAGGGACAAATGGGAACCTTATGAACCTTCTCTAACTCTATAGCAGGCCCAAGGGATACAAATGTAGCTTCTGTTTTACCTGTTGACAGGTAGTTGGGCTGGATCACAGGGTGGTCCCGAGGGTTAGCGCTTCTCAGTTTCAGCCAGCCTACACTTGTGCCCCTCATGGTTCCCACATGTACCTAGAAGGGTTCAGAGGTAACAGTTCTCAGTAAACTCCATTAACTACAGCTCAGAAACTTAAGCCCTAAGTTCCCCGTGGGTGGGGTCTCAGCATTCAGTATACAGCCCTCCATCCTGTCTGGCCTTTACTCCTTTGTCTGCAACTTTCGGGCTGATCCCCAGGCTGAGGTAGTTTGGCCTATTGTCACTGTAACAGATCCTGGCCCTCTAAATATCCTATGGACTGACTCCTGGGCTCTCTCCCTGGGGTGAATGAGGTTTAGGCTCCCTTTCCTCTTCCAGTCAGACAGTAGCCATTGTGGGCAGAGTACTAAACAGAGGCCTACGTGGTGGGACAGATCACACCATGAAAATCAATTCTAATCCAGGAGCATGAAGGCAGAGTCTCGGGCCATGGCTGTCTGCATACCTGGTAAGCATCCTGCTGGGTGGGTTTCCGCCCATGGTCAATCACTTGTGATGGGAGGAAGTGGAACTGGATGTCCGGATGGGGGACCCCAGGCCGGCTGCGGATGAACCCTCCGGTCTCAAGATGGGCTGTGGCTCCATCCCCTGAAGGTCACATGAGGACAAGGTAGAAGAGCCAGTCAAGATACAGCAGGTGGCCCAGCTGTTCCTAGTGTCCCTCTTCTCCTCCATATCTCTCTTCCTGGGCTTGGGGCTTGGCATCAGGTTGTCCATAACTCCCTTCTTTCCCCAGGTGGCTATACCGGCATTACAACTTTAAAAGAAAACAGCTACATGCTAAGTGAGGGGCTTCAGGTCTGCTAAGACCACCTGTTTTATGAGCCCTTTGATCTGCTCAGTGGGTGTCACCTTGAGCAAGGTTCTGTGCTCAGTCTCTCAACATGTGCTACTGCCTTTTGTCCCCTCGCAGAGACCACCCAGACAGGACCTTTGTGTCCTCACTTCACAGACTAGAAAATGGGCTTGGGTGACTGTCATCTGGCTTTATACCTAGCAGCCTGAGGCCTGTCTTGGCCCTTCAGGAAGAAAACCATGATGCCCACAGATCACAGCCACCAAGCTCACCAGGAGGCAGGCTCACCTGTGAACCTCCAGAGCCACTCAAGACCGATAGAGATCTTCCGCAGAGGCTTCTGGGCAGAGTGGAGGGTGATGGGTTGTGTGCACGCTTGCTGAATGTAGATCTCCAGGTGGTCTTGCAGGTTCTGACCAACTCCTGGCACAGGAAGGAGTGGTTAAGAAAAATGGCTAACACAACAGGGTGAACCCTGGCTTTGGAAGCTTCTCTCTAGTCCACTTGTCTTTTAAGCCAGTTCGGGCCTGCCCTGGCCCCAGCTTAGAAGTTGATTCTTTGAGACACTACTTCTGATCTCTTAGACAAGTCTGACTCTTTCTCAAATTCTGCTAAAACCACCCACCCTGTCACTTTCTGTATAGCAGTCATTCAAGTGACCTTGATCAGCTCTCCTCAGCAGCATCCTCCAAGGACAGGGCCCACAATTACAACAGATATTGTGTTTGCTAAGTGTCACGGTGTGTGTGTTGGTCAGATTGACATTGTCTCCCCCAGTCTGTTGAAGGAAGAAGTAGTCCCAGCAGTCTATGCAAACACTACTTAAGTTCATTCAACTTCAAGGGTACACTGGGCGGTCAAGGCACAGACTACTTCCATAGGCCTCTCAAGGAAAGCTCCCTATGAAAGGCTGGCCCCTTGTGTGTGGAGGCTGAGGAAAGCCCTCAGGAACACAACGCACCATTTCTAAGATGAAACTTGGATCTTCACCTGGACAGTGGCTCTTGAACCCTGAGCTGGCCTCATTTGTGCTTAGAGCAGCCAGTAAATTTTGGGGACCTCTCACACCACAGACCCATCCTGGTGGTAATCTCAGCCCCACTCCAGTTATGGGATGCTCTCCTAAAGGGTGTAGAAGCTAAATGAGGGAGGGTGAAGGAAAATAGCATAAAGAACCAGGGTCCAGGGATAGGAGTTTCCAGTGAGACCCAGAGGCCCTCAGATTTATAGGAAGGAAGGATGTGACACCTACAAGAAGTACCCCACCCCCACTTCAAGCAACAAGCTGCTAGGTTCTACAGAGTTGCCTTCTGGGCAGCAGTCAGAGAGGGAGCTCACCAGGCAGATGACACACCACAGGTATGCCTAGTTTCTTGAGATGATCTGCATTCCCAACACCAGAGAGCATGAGCAGTTGTGGAGAGTTGATGGCGCCTCCGCTCAGGATCACCTCCCTGCTGACGTAAGCCTGGAAGAGGCAAAGGTCTACCAATCACACTTCTTGAAAATCCAGCTGTTCTACGGCCTCGTGGAGAGGCACTCAGTTCCAGCCATTACCATGAGACCGTGGCCTTTGGAAATGACACCACTGTGGCGACTCTGCTCCCGGGTCCTAGACAGAGGAGAGAGGAGGGAGCTGGCTGGCTGGCTACTTAAAAGCAATCTGCACAGAGTCCCCATGGGTGCTATTACTCTCAGTAATAGCTGTAACAGTAACAGGGGCCTTAGAAACAGGAGGGTAGAGCTCAAATGAGATGAGAGCATACACTCGAGTGATTTGAAGCAAGGGCACAAATCGCCAGATCTTCTGAGAAGGTAGGGTGGGGGAAGGCCACATGTCACTGAGTGAAGAAAAGCACCAGAGTATGATTCCATTTGTGGGTTTTTAAGCTTCTAGGGTTGATTTAATGATTTCTGACAGGCCAGAAGCCTGAAACCATGTACTAGGGGACTCTCACAGGGTAGATGGGACAGGCAGAGGCTTATGGAGGCACTAGGAACCATGAAGTCTGCGGGTGGCAGAAGTTGGGGTCTTCTGACCTCTATTATGTCCTATGGGATGACAAGGACAATCCTGCCACTGCTACTTGCTGTTCACTCTTCCTAGGGACAAGAGCATGTGGCTGGGGGACAGGAGCAAGAGTCTGATTGCCAGGTTGCTGCCTGTCCCTTCCTGCCCTCTTAAGTCCCCACACGTTCCACAGGAGTCAACTCACCTTGTGGCTCTGGCCGTTCTTGATGTACTCCACACCCACTGCGCGAGTGCCCTCAAACAGCACTCTGCTTACAAGTGTCTGGACCTCGGCCCTGAGGTTGGGGCGGCTCAGTGCTGGGTGCAAGTAGGCACAGGCTGCGCTCCAGCGCTTCCCTGTAGGATGGAGCAAGATCAGGTGTGGCCTGCTGCCCTTCCTCTCATACCTGGACAGGAGGAACCTGCTGGGGAAAGCAAATCTACCCTGCCCTTGACAATTCAAGGGCTGCCTTCAAGATATATCTGGGACCTGAATATCCTACCCTGCAGTCCTGGCTATTGAGAACCCTATGGTTTGCTCTATCCTGCTGTGAGCAAAGAAGGTCCTGTACTACCTGTTCTGTGTCTACTTGCATCCGTCTGCAGAGAGGTGAGAGCTGGGACAAGATGGTTTTGTGCCGTCTCTTTCTGCCTCAACTTGCTCATCTGCAAGTCTCTACGTCGCCATGGGTGGTTTATCACACAGAGCTGATCCTTCCCTCTTCTAGAGCCCCTCTCCCCTCCCCTACCCCCAGTCAGGCCACCGTGTTTTCCCTGGCCACAGGCACCACAGGACTGAAATCCCTACCTCTCTCAGCTTCCTAGATCTGTGGTTACAGGGCTTGGCTGCCCTATCCAGGCTGGGCAGGTCTCTGGGGACTCTACAGTCACCTCTGCTGTACCACATGACCTAGAGGCACAGTGAATGCCCAAGTAGTTGGGCTGTGTCCGGTGATACCTAGGGGCGGTATAGTATCTCCCTCAAACCTAACACCATCCCTATTTTGGCACTTACTGACCATGATGGGGTTAGGAGGGTGGACTATAAGTAGAGAGGGGAAAATTAAAAATTGATACCTTGGGGGCTGAGAGATGGCTCTGATGGTTAAGAGCACTTACTGCTCTTCCAGAGGTCTTGAGTTCAATTCCCAGCAACCACATGGTGGCTCACAACCATCTGTAGTGGGATCTATGACCTCTTCTGGTGTGTCTGAAGAGAGCTACAGTATACTTGTATCCATTAAATAAATAATATACTTTTTACAAAATTGGTACCTTGGTGGATGGTCATGTCCATCCAGCCGAAGCCCTCCTGTTGGAAGCCATTCATGTCTTCAGTGTAGGGGTAACCAGCCTGATGTGCTGCCTTCAGGAAGGCCTGGTGAAGCGGGTGGTTGGTCTTGCCCCGAGACACGTTCAGGGGGCCGTCCCCACCACGGTACATATTGGCACCCTGCTCATGTCTCTGCGCCTTGCGGAAGTAGGGTAGGCAGTGTGCGTAGTCCCAGCCCTCAGCACCTTCACGGTGCCAGCGGTTATAGTCCTCGGCGTGTCCTCGGATATAGACCATGGCATTGAGGGATGAGGAGCCCCCCCAGACCCGGCCTCGTGGCCAGTACAGTACGCGGCCATCCAGGCCGGGCTGCACCTCAGTGTGATAGTACCAGTTGTATTTGTCATCACACAGGTTGGCCACAAGGGCAGCCGGCATGTGGATCTTCCACTGAAGCCGCTTGCTCCCCATCAACAAGTCCTTGGGCCCTGCCTCTAGCAGCAGCACTCGGTGATTCGGGTCCTCAGTGAGCCGACTGGCCAGCACACAGCCAGCAGAGCCTGCGCCCACCACCACAAAGGTGTACTCATCCTGCCCCACAGAGGCTGCACTAGCAACTGCGCAGCTGCACGGGGGGCGTGGCTGACCCTGCATAGCCCACGCCAGGGCTCCATGTGGGCTCAGATATCCTTTCCTCCAGGCTCTAAGGACCTGCCACATGCTTCCAGCCCAGTTCCTCTATCCACGGACAGGAGTGGGGAAGAATCTCTTCCTAGAACAGGAAAAATGGCTTTAAAACTCAACTCCATGGCATATGCAGAAGCAGTCTGGAGCTGATTGGTCATGCTGATAGAGCAAAGGCCCTGCCTTGCTTGGACAAGGCCATTGCACATGATAACCGCTGCCCTGGGGAGGTAGAACCTGAAGTAGGGACTTTTATTATGGAGATATTAGTCCAGGCCCCTCAACAGGCTTAGGGGTTCCCTGGCCAACTTCCCTGGGATATCCATAGGAACTTGGGAGACTGAGCATCTAGCTACAAAACGGGAGGAAGGCTATCCAGGCTGACAGACAAGGGGCTATTCTCCCTACTGCAGGCAGAACATTGCATTTTATTACAGGAATACACAGGAAAAACTAGAAAAGCTCTCCAGATGGAGAGGGACAAAGTAGGCCGAAGGACCAAGACTGTGGAGCTCACAGCCTGAGAGATCCCAGGATGCACCAGGACATAGGATCACAACCTCACTTTCCAAGGTCACCTTGTAAAGCAGTAGCTTTAACAGAGAAATGTCAATGACCTAAAAAAAAAAAAATGTTGGTTTGTTTTTGTTTTTGGGATCTTTCCCTTTCCTCCCTCCAAGCCCCCCCTCCCCCGTGTACCTCATCTTGCTCTCTTTCAAAGTTACAGCTTCTTTTTCTTCAATGGTCGTTACATGTAAATACATGCATGTATGGAAATACATCCTGCTCAGTCCTTACCATGTTATGTGTATATGTATATGATGTATATTATGTGTATATGTATGTGTATGTGTATATGTATATGTATATGATGTATGTGATGTATATGTATATGATGCATATTATGTGTATGTGTATATGTATATGTATGCCAATGACTTTCAATGGGTCTTCTCTCACCACTGTCCCACATGCTTGGCGGAAAGGTTGAGAAGAGCCTAAGTATGCCACTGAACTCCTGCTGACAAGAACATTACCTGAACCCCGCAACCCCAACAACAACCCTCTAGTCTACACTGGAGCTGAAGTGAAAGGGCTGAAAAAAGTCCCTTGTCAATTTTGGCCCAGATGCAGATCATGGCAAATCCCCCTAGCTTTCCCTCAGTCCTGTATCAGGTAGCCAGGGCCTTCCCAGAAGCAGGAAGACAGAGGAAGGCCCACACCTATGTGACAGAAGTGGCAGAGCCTTCTGGAGCAAGAATTCTGCAGAGATTCCCCCACCCCAAGCTCCAGACCCCATGATATAGCACAGGGTAACAATGCCCGATGCTCAGCTCTCCAGGGGGTGGACTCATTTTCCCCTAAATGCCCTGCCAGGATAGTGACATCCTTTTTAAAAAGACACCATTTACCCATCTACATTAGACTGGTACACACAAGTGAGTATTCCGTAACAATTTGGAAACATGCAAATATACTCTTTACAAAGAGAGAAAGCATGCAACAGAACCAGATGCACCTCCTCCAGGTGTTAGAACCATCGAACAAAAGACATTACTTAAGATCACAGCTATTAGAAATGACTTAGACAACAATAGACACATTGAAAAACTTTCAAGAAAGTATCAGTGGTCTGCGAAGATGGCTCTATGGGCAAAAGCACTTTTTTCATAAGCCTGGTGACCTGAGTTTAGTCACTAGGATCCATGTAAATAAAAACCAGGCACAAAGGCACACATCTGTAATTCTGGCACTCCTACAGTGAGATGAGAGAGGCACGAATAACAGAAACAGGAGAGATCCTGCCTCAAATATATGGAAGGAGAGGTTCCCAGCTCCGAAAAGTCTTGTGACCTCCATGTTCATACTGTGGCATTGTATTCTCCCATACCCCACTAATAAGAAGTTGAAATGATCGATCTGATTTTAAAAAAACAAAAAATACAAGAAAAAAAATCTGATGCTAGGACAAAGGAGTTTTGATTAGATATAACAGGAAGAAAGCAGTGACATTGAAGATTAGGGGAAAGATGTTTCTAGAAGAAAATGTGAAGAGAGAAGTGAAAAGGGGCAGAGGAGAAGAATGGGGACTTGGGAGCTTTTAGATCATCATGCTAAAGCTTGGATAAGTGAAGTCTAAGCAGGAGAACTAGACACAAATAGATCAGTTCCGTCAAAGACACAATGTGTCCAAATGCACACCTTGTGAGAGGAAGCGAGATACTAGGATGAGCCAATATACATAGTAAATAACTAATAAATAACAACAGTCCAAAACAAAATAGCAACTCCAGAGAGAGGGTGCTGGGAGAGTTCTCCAGAACACTTAAGGGTGAGCATGCGCTGATTCTCTCCAGTCTCTGTCAGAAGAAACAGGGAGAACGTGTCTTTACCCATTCTAAAAGGTTAGCATCACACTAATACCAAAACCAGACAGACAAAAATATCAAAGAAAAGAGAACTATAGATTGGTATCTCTTATGAACAAAGATGAATACATATCCTGGTGTAGTCTTAGAGAGGGCCAATACAGCGGAGGGTAGGAGGAGAAGGTGGCTAGGCAAGAAAAATCCCTCAACTAAGTTTTAGTAACTCAAATCCAGATATTTTATACTAGCAAGATGGTTCAGAAGGTAAGTACTTGCTCTTAGGAATGATGACCTGTATTCAGTCCTTAGAGACCACGTGGCAGGAGAGACTCATCCATCTCCCACAAGCTGTCCTCCGACATCCATACACACATGCCAAGACATTCTGTCTTGCACTTGCACGTCACACATATACACAAACAAACACATGTAAATAAATTTAAAATGTTTTTAGTGTTTTGATTCGAGTTCTACATAAAAAAAGATCTTATGTACCACATTCAAGTGGGGTTGACCCCCAGATGATCATCTTTGAAACATTTCACATTTAAAAATCAGTTCATGGGGCCCTGAGCTTGTTTACATCCCTCGCAGACCTACAGGCTTCCCTACCTCAGACTCCAAAACGGAATAATCATTCATCCATTTCATGTGCAAAAAAGGCCTTTCTTCGTGTGTCCAAATCCAATATCAAGAAAGTGTGGATGGCAGAAGAGAAAAGATCACGTGACAAAGGAAACAAGGATTCAGGCAGTAGTAACCTCCAAGAGCAAGCAGCCCGTGGTGGCAGACTGCTTGTGGGGGAAAAGCATGGCCTGAAGGTCACACATGCCGCCCCACCAGGAGTTAAAGCAAAGAGAAAGAGGGAATGGGAGGAGACACAGTACAAATGTGAATGACAGAAAAGAACTCCAGGAGAAGAATATGCCAAAGATGACACAAAGGTCAGAAATCAGCCCGTTGGTATGGTCGGTACTCAGGTTCAAAATGTAAGGTGTATTAAATGCCAAGCGAGGTCATATCTGCACAGAGGGAGACTGCCCCTGGCTTGGTCTCCCTGGAATCAATTCAAGTTTACTTCCTACTGAGGTCTCGAGGCCGGGGAGGCACCCCTTGGAGCTAATAGCTGCTATGAGAGACAGTGGGCATGCACTGAAATGAAGTGTACTGGAGAGACACTTGGCTGAAAGGAATCTATTGCAGGACACTGTTCCCAGTAACGGTGAAGGAGACCCTGACATTGATGTCTCAAAGTCACTGACAACCAAACAGAAGCTTCAAAGAGACTGGGTAGCTTGAAAGGGGGAAAAAAAGAAAGAAAAGGTATAAAAAAAGAAACTCCTCTCCCTCCTCTCTCCTCCTTCCCTCTTCTTCCCTCCTCCTCCCTCCTCCTTCCCTGAGACTTCAGAAAACAGCAGTGTTAGTGACAATAAAGAGAAGAGCAGGAGAGGAAGAAAAATAGTCAGGGACTCACAGTAGTGACCCTATGAGGACAAGTCTAGAAGATATTTCATAAAGAACTTTCTAGCAGTCTCCAGTGACAGAGAAAAAGCCAAGGCTTCTAAAACAAGAGAGTCCTGAGGATGTTCTGACTGGAAGTCCAGAAGCCTTCATCTTAATCCAGAGAAGAAAGGGTCTGACAGAAGAGGGGATCTGAGGTCACTGATCAGCAGGAGAAGCTGGAGTCCTGAGTCCTGAAGTCACAAGCAAAGGGCATTGGACAGCAGAAGCCCCATGAAGAATGGGCAGAAGAAAGGATACCAGAAGCCAGGGCAACGGCTATGGAAGAGAGAGCACTCAGTGAGCATCCAGGAGAGCACAGCAGCGCCACCGAGTGGACGGGAGCACAGGGACATCTGCCTGCCTGAGAACCAGAGGGCTCCATTGTCTCACTGAATATCTCTAGCCAGGGCTAACTTCACACTCTATCATCTCAATAATAATAATAATAATAATAATAATAATAATAATAATAATAACAACAACAATAATTAGTAATAATAACAACAACAACAATAATTCTCTTAATTTTCCATTTTTGCAAATTGTCATTTTAAGTACAAAACAACATGACTACCACCAGGTTGAACTTCACAGATATTTGTAGGCAGTCTATTTAGGGGCATAGAAAAAAAAATATTTCTGTTGGCAACCTCTTTCTTATGCCTTCTACCAGATTTAAAATATATAAGTAATTATGTGATTTTTGTTGTTGTTGTTGTTCTGAAACACCACTAAAACTGGCACTCACCTTTAATCCCAGTACTTTCGAGGCAGAGGCAGGTGGATCTCTGTGAATTCAAAGTCAGTCTTGTTCACGTAGAAAATTCCAGGCTGGACATAGTGAGACCCTGCCTGAAAAAAATGGAAAATAAAAGAAAGGGAGGAAGAAACAAAGAAAATTATCATGAGGTGGAGAAATAAGAGATACAGAAAAAGCATCGGGCAAAAATTTTTTAAAGTACCTTTCTACTGTCCAACATGATAAAGGTTATCTATAAAACTGTTATAGTGGCAAGAAACCCAGAAGCTTTCCCACCAAAATCAGGAGCAAGGCAAAGATACCTTCTCTCACCAACCCTAATATCACATTGGACATTACAGCTTAACTCAAGAGTCAAATGGAGGAAACTCAAAAAGCATTCATGTTGGGAAGAAAGAGAACATTTCTGGCCAACATGATCATGTATGTAGAAAATCGGAAAGAACTGACCAAAAAGGTTTCTGGAACTAACAAGCAGCTCCAGGGAGACCTCAGGAAACAAGGTCAAGACACAAGTGTCAGTCACACACCGATCCACCAGCAGTGAGCATGAGCCACTTGAAGGGAAGACACACCAGGCAGTGGTGGCGCACACCTTTAATCCCAGCACATGGGAGGCAGAGGCAGGTGGATTTCTGAGTTCGAGGCCAGCCTGGTCCACAGAGTGAGTTCCAGGACAGCCAGGGCTACACAGAGAAACCCTGTCTAGAAAAATAAAAAATAAAAAAATAAAAAAAGAAGAAGACACAATTCCACTGCATTCAATGTGCCAAATGAGAAAGAATAAATCAAAACACTTTTGCGATTGGACATCTACCAAACTCTAGAGAAAATCATCAGAGAAAAACTAGCTACACAGAGCAATATGCTGTATTTGTGGGTAGGGAAATTCAATGTTGTCTTTATTCTTTACCATTTAACTTATAAATCAATGCAATCTCATTAAGTTCTCCAGCAAGATTGGTAACTATTGATAACCTGATCCAAAATTCATGTGCAGATGCAAAAGACCTCAAAACAGCCAACACAATGTTCAAAGAGAACTAAGGTATAGGGCTGACACTACATGAACTCCAGGCTTGCTGGAAGCATAGTAACTGAGAATGTGACATGGCCAAAGAAACAAGCGATCATCAACAGAACAGAGCAGAGCTCAGAAACAAAGGCATGTGAATGGATCAATAAAGCAGCAGAATGGAGCAGAAGTGGCCTTTTCAACCGAGGGTGCAAGAGCCACTGAAACACACAAGGGAAGCTAGACGTATCTTCAGCATTCAAAATGGATCACAAACCCAACACTAAGTTATAAAAAAAATCCTAGAGCACAACAGGAAAGCACAATGGGGTGTGGGGGAGGCCTGACAATGACAATGAATCCTAAGATAGGGCATCAAAGGCAAAAACTAAACACAAAGCTAAAAACCGGTAAACCCGATCTCATCAAAACAAAACAAAAAAAAAACTGTCTACTAAGATCCTGTCAAGAGAAAGAAAGGGCAAGCCTCTGATTGCATTTGAGATGGAGGACTACCACATAAAACACACACACACAACACACACACACACACACACACACACACACACATCATAAACTGCTAAGTATCCGTAACAAGTGTCCTGATTACCAAGTGTGTCAAAGACGTTAACAGACACTTTAGCAAAGAAGATACTCAAACCTGGCTCATAAATATTTGAAGATAAGCTGTACAGAGCATGCCACCAGTGAAACACAACTAAAAACTAAGTGAGACTCCACTGTATAGTCATGAGGGCCAGACCAGCAGCAGAAGAACTGCAGTAGAGTCGTGTGAAGAACCGTGGGCATGGTGTATATCCTTGTACTTCTACCTGGGAGAACTGAGGTGGGAGGACACAATTTTAAGACCAATGTGGGCTAGACGCTATTTCAGAAAAGAGAGAGAAGAGATGAAACAAGATGGGAGGGAAGGAAAGGAAAGAGAGGGAAAAGAGGAGGGGAAAGTAGCAGGGAAGAAAGAGGAAGAGAAGGAGAGAGAGGGGAAGGGGAGGAAAAAAGGTGGAGGAGGAAGGAGAGGAGGAGTAGAAATCCCACACAGCAGTGGATGAACCATAGCATCTCAGATTAATATGGATAGATCCTAAAAGTGTAGTCATAATATAGAAAGCTAAAAGTGTAGACATAATATAGAAAGAAAACCCCAGGCGCGTGTAGCCTTAATAAATTTTAAAGCATGCAGTTCATATTACATGAAAGTTCTAGGATTTATGAAGCAAAACCTGACAGATTTGAAGGGAAAATAGTTGTATAATAGCTGAAGACTTCAATGTTTAGAGCTCAATGATGATATATTAATAAGGTAATAGAAGAAAAACCACCATAAGCCAACTGGACAGAAGAGATATATACAAAGCACTCAACAGAAACACATTTTTTTCTCAAGTGTACATAAACCAAACTCCAGGACAGATTACAAATCTTTAAGACAGAAAACATACCAGGAATCTATTTGGGCCACAGTGGAACAGAACTAGGAATCAATATGCAGAAGAAAACTCACAAAAATATGAAATTAATGTTTCTAAAACCCAGTGTGTCAGAGAAGAAATCACAGAGGAAGTTAGAAATATGTGAAACAAATGAACACAGGAGACACCTCGTCTTACGCAACATGGTGAGGGCAGCATTATCGGCCGTTCAGAACTGCATCTTCAAACAGAGGGAAGATCGTTATCCTGTGAACAGCTAGAAAATAGAACAAACCAAACCAAGGCTAGCAGAGGGAAGGAAACACTGGAGATCTGAGCAGAGATAGAGAAAAACAATGGAGGAAACTGATGAAGATAAAAGATGGCTCAAAGAGAAGCAGCGACATCATAAGTGTTAGTGTTTGCTCAACACTGACAGCAAGAAAGCTGCTCAACTAAGAACAGAAGCAACACACTATTGTGAGTTCTTGCCAAAACAATTACAGAGAGAGAGAGAGAGAGAGAGAGAGAGAGAGAGAGAGAGAGGGAGAGGGAGAGGGAGAGGGAGAGGGAGAGGGAGAGGGAGAGACAGAGATAGAGACGAGTCAGAAACAGAGACAGAGACAGACAGAGGCAGAGGCAGAGGACAAAAGATTAGGCCTAAATTTAACCAAAGGTTTAAAAGCAACACTGTATTAGTTACTTTATCCTTGCTGTAACAAAACGTCTGAGAATAGCAACTTCAAGAAAGAAGGGGTTTTTGTTTGTTCATTTGTTTTACTTTGGCTCAGGGCTTGAGGGGATACAGTCTATCATGAAAAGGAAGGAACTCAGGCAGGGGTTTAAAGTGGCTGGTCACATTGCATTAGTATTTGGGCGTGAGAAAGAAATGAATGCTGGTCTCTGCTGGCCTTTTCTTTTTCAGTCTAGGGCCTCAGCTTGTGACACGGTCCCACCCACATTTAAGGCAGATGCTCCTGCCTCCCTGCTCCCTATCAAATTTCTGGAAATGCCCCCCCCCAACACAACCTGAAACATGGCCTCTAGAAGATTCTAAATCCTGTCAAGTTGACAGTCACGATTAACCGTCACATTGATTATTGAAAACTATAAAATGGCCTTCCGCCTCACGCCTGGTCCTTTTGGCTGGGGCAGACACCTAGCTGCTCTGCTCCTGTGGAGACATCGTATCCTGAGCCATCCTAGAGGAGCCACTCCACTCAGAGCAGTGGGTAAGAATGCTCTCCCACTACTCTACTCCCCAGAGTTACAACTGGGAGCCAGGGGCACTCAGGTCCCATCAACAACCTAAACCCCACCCTTCCAGAATACCACTTCCCTTCTGCCTCTTGTCTGGTCCTTTTGGCTGGGGCAGACACCTAGGTGGTCTGCTCCTGTGGAGACACCATATCCTGAGCCATTCTAGAGGAGCCACTGCACTCAGAGCAGCAGACAACATACCCTTAACCATTCTAGAGTCACTCCACTCAGACCAGTGAACACCTAACTGGTCTGCTCCTGTGAAGACACCATATCCTGGGCCATCCTAGAGGAACCACTGCACTCAGAGCAGCAGAATTTCAGAGGCAGCCTGAGTCTCAGGAGTTCTATCCAGGAGCTTAGGATCACAGAATCACAGAGACATCTGGACTCTGAGGAGTTTTGACACAAGCAAGATAACTGAAAAGACAGACTCCAGTCAGACACAGTTAGCACAGGTAACACTAGAGTCAACCAGATGGTGAAAGGCAAGCGCAAGAACACAAGCAACAGAAACCAAAGTTACTTGGCATCATCAGAACCCAGTTTTCCCACCATAGCAAGCCCTGTACACCCCATCACACCGGAAAAGCAGGATTCAGAATTAAAATCACTTCTCATGATGATGATAGAGGATTTTAAGAAGGACATAAGTAACTTTCTTAAAGTACAGGAGAACACAGGTAAACAGGTAGAAGTCCTTAAAGAGGAAAAACAAAAATCCCTTAAAGAATTGCAAGAAAACACAACCAAACAGGTGAAGGAATTGAACAAAACCATCCAGGATCTAATGGAAATAGAAACAATAAAGAAATCTCAAAGGGAGACTACCCCAGAGATAGAAAACATAGGAAAGAGATCAGGAGTCATAGACACAAGCATCACTAACAGAATACAAGAGATAGAAGAAATAATCTCAAATGCAGAAGATACCATGGAAAACATTGACACAATTGTCAAAGAAAATGCAAAACGCAAAAAGCTCCCAACCCAAAACATCCAGGAAATCCATGACACAGTGAGAAGACCAAACCTAAGGATAATAGGTATAGATAAGAGTGAAGATTCCCAACTTAAAGGGCCAGTAAATATCTTCAACAAAATTATAGAGGAAAACTTCCCTAACCTAAAGAACTAGATGCCCATAAACATACAAGAAGCCTACAGAATGCCAAACAGAATAGACCAGAAAAGAAATACCTCCCATCACATAATAATCAAAACATCAAATGCACAACACAAATAAAAAATACTAAAAGCAGTAAGGGAAAAAGGTCAAGTAACATATAAAGGCAGACCTATAAGAATTATACCAGACTTCTCACCAGAGACTATAAAAGCCAGAAGATCCTGGACTGATATCATACAGACCCTAAGAGAACACAAA